GTGGGTTTAAAATGTCCCAGTTTCTCTCTCCTTCTCTCACTTTCTCTCTTTGACCTCAGCTTACTTCCATTGCTGCAAACTGAGTTCAAAGTGCAAAAGTAGTTTTCATTCAACTAACTCAGCAGAGAGAGGGAGAGGAAAAGAAGAGACAGAATTTTGCTATTCCAGGGAGGATCAGGCAAAAGCAACCTGCTGCAGCCTCTCCTAGCTTGCCTGTTCTCCCACTATAATAATTTTTGCTGCCTTGACCAGATTCTGATGTTGCTTGAACCCACTATCCCAGTTTTAATCGGTGAAATTTTGGAGAGTATGCTTTTATATTCCAGCGGGGAACTGAATATTTTATACAATGAGTCTTCTGTTTCAGCACTGCACTGCTTTTAATCTCTGCTTTTAAATCAATGCTTCATACGGTTTTAATTCCATAGACAGTTTAATAGTCTTTTTTCTTAACTTTTTGTCTGTTTTTAGCTACACGTGGCTTTCCTTGTATCTCTGCTTTACTATGTCACTATGAGTCCAAGGCTGCATCCGCACTGCAGAAATAATCCAGTTTGACATCATTGCCATGGCCCAATGCTATGGAATTCTGGGAAGTGTAGTTTGTTGTGGCACCAGAGTTCTCTGACAGAGAAGGCTAATATCTCACAAAACTACAAGTCCCAGAATATCATACCATTGAGTTAAAATGGTGTCAAACTGGTTTATTTCTGCAGTGTGGACGCAGCCCTACTCTTGGAGGAGAAAAGTGGCATGTAAATAAAGTGATCAATTGATTATAATCAAACAAAAGGACAGTTTCCCCACAAGATCTTAGTGCAAAACACAGAATGGGCCACGGAGTGTGAAAGTCAGCAACAGTTTCAGGAAAAACTCTCTTATTTCAATTCTGAAATAAGGCTTAATTTCCACTGGAGCTCTCCTGCCCCTGAACCTATTTTGGCAACAAGTCTCTCCCCAAAAATTCACAAAGGACCAACCACTCCATTGTCAACTGTTGAAATAATTTGTCGCGGAATTAACGTCTAATCGCTTTGGCATGTTGTCAAATATTTCATAGTCTGGCTCATTACCAATCAACCCCCTCAATATGGATACGGAAGGAAGTGTTAATTAAGAAAATAAATAGTAATCATATCCATTTGCAAACAGACTTTGCCCACTAATTGTTTGCAGGCGTGGCCACCCTTAAAATGGTTTCTGCTGCTATTGCATATCGCAGGAAGAGAACCAAAACAGGGCATGCACACAAAACATAAAATAGATTATTATAAATAACAGATCCCAACTGGACGTAGCAAATGAATCAAACTCCAGTTGATTCTTCTGTGCAATAGGTTGCACCAATTAAAAGCTCCTGCCCAACTCAGTGTATTAGTAAGCAAGTCTTAAGCTGCTTCACAAGACATATTATATAGGCGTATTGCTATGGGGGAGGGACAAAATGAGGATGTTGCCCCTCCCCTGAGGCTGAGAGCATGTGACTTGCCCAAGGTCACCCAATGTGTTTCATGGCCAAGCTGGGAATCAAACCTTGGTCTCCAGAGTCATAGTTCAATGCTCAAACCACTACGCCATGCTGCCTCTCCCACTAGAAATTAACAGGACACAAACTATGAGTCAGGCCTTGCTTTATAGACTTTGAGGCTCCAAACTCCAAACTGGGCATGGGACTCCTAACTAGACCTCACTCTACAAACCTTGCTATTATTATTTTTGGTGAGCCTCTCTGAGGGTTTTTTTGGCCAGATTTCTTCCCAGAGAGCTGACAAGGACATCCTGTGAGGCTGAGAGAGTGTGTCTTGCCCATGTAAGGGCTCAAGAATTCAGGACCCTGGACAGTTTCTTCCAAGCTTGAGCCTGGGCAGGATTCTGCACCCTGGTCTACACCCAAAGTTAGGGGAAGGGAAGGAAGCATCTCCAAGAGACGGGAAATGCCAGTGGATTCCCAGCAATGTCCCATTGCATTGCTGTAAAAGCAGTGTTTCCCAAACTTTAGTCCTCCAGATGTTTTGGACTTCAGCTCCCAGAGGCCCCAGCCAGCTTGGTCAACAGTCAGGAATTCTGGGAGCTGAAGTCCAAGACATCTGGAGGACCAAAGTTTGGGAACCCCTGCTATAAAGGGAGCATTCAAATCAATAGATGGCTGTAGCACAAGAATTCAGGACCCTGGACAGTTCCTTCCAAGCCTGAGCCAAGGAAGAGTTCTGCACCCTGATCAGCACCTAAAGTTAGGAGAAGGGAAGGAGATCTACATGATCTCTGGAGGTCCCACCCAACTTAGGCAGTAGCAGAAGGAAGCCACGAAGAAATGGTGGTAGGCAGTCTGCAAAATGCACAACTCTCCATCTTTTCTGTTGTGGCCACGAACAGAACCAGAGTCTTGCCTGGGCATCCAAACCTGGGAGAGATGCCTCCAGAAGTGGGAAATGGCTTTCTTGTTCCTTTTCTGCGTAGTTTGTTACAATCAAGAGCAATGAAGTAGGGAATTAAAGCCGGGGGTGGGTGGCAAGCCACCTCCAGCCATCACCGGCTAATTAATAAATGAAGAGCGTAATTAGGAGCTCTTTTGCTTTCTGCTGACGGCAGGGGAATCCGTGTGGGCCCCCAAAGTTGAAGAGGAGTTCAAACAAGAGACAGATTTTGTTCCCTATCTGCTCCTACACAGCATTTCCTCGCCATCTGAACTGGGAAATCATGATGGCTGCAGGGAAAGGACTGCATAGAGAGGCATTTTGGAATGTGCACTCTAGGGAAATTGCCCAACATTGTTCAGAAAAGAAAATCCAAAGATTTTTAAAGTATTGTAGACATCTCTCTCTCTTTCTCTCTCTCTCACACACACCAAGATTGGGAATGAAATGTTTCACAGCCTAATGGCCTAAATACCCTGAAAGCACCAGATTCTGTCTGATCTTGAAAGCTAAGCAGGGTCAGCCCTGGTTAGTGTTTGGATTGGAGACTGTCAAGGAATCCCGGGTGCTGGAGGCTTTATTTCAGAGGAAGGAACTGGCAAGACCACCTCTGAGGATTCCTTGCCTCAAAAAACCCTGTGAAATTCTTCAGGTTGCAGTAAGTCAACAAGCGACTTGAAGACACATACAGAGACACACACATAATAAGGCGCTCATGGGGAAACCTGAATGTTTTGAAACTCCATCTCCCATCATCCCCACCTTACATAGCTAGGGATTAGGAAAATGGAATTGTAGCCCAACAACATCTGGAGGACCATAGATTCCCTGTCCCTGGTCCAATGGTGCAAGAGAGAACATTTCCTTTACATCTTTTGAGGACTAGAAACTTAAGAGAGAGGGGGAGAAAAAGCCAAAGGGACTGGATTTGTCTTGACCTCTCCATCTCATCTCATCTCATCTCATCGCCATATAAGACAAAATATTTCCTTCATGAGGACTAGAAACTTGAAAGAGACAGAGAAGAGGAAAGGGCAAAGGAACTGGGTGTCCTGAGCCTTCCATCTCAGAATATAAGAGAGTATAATTTCTTCACATCCCATGAGGACCAGAAACTTGAAAGAGGCAGAAGGAAGAAAAAGACAGAGACGCTACATTTTCATGATGCTTCTATCCCAGCATGTAAGAGAGAACATTTCCTTCATATCATTTAAGTCAGGGGTAGGCATCCTTTCCCCTTTAAGGGCTGAGGGACTTCAGCTCCCAGAATCCCAGGAGCTATTGGCCAACATGGGACTATTGGCCAACATGGCCGAGGCTTCTGGGAGCTGAAGTCCCTCTAAAGGCACCAGATCCCTCTGATCTTGGAAGCTAAGCAGGGTCAGGCCTGCTTAGTACTGGGATGGGAGACTGTCAACAAAGCCCCGATGCTGGAGGCTCTATTTCAGAGGAAGGGACTGGCAAAACCACTTCTGAGTACTCCTTGCCTCAGAAAATAGAATGAAATTCATGGGGTTGCCATAAGTCAACAGGGAGCTTGAAGGTACACACATAAAGACAACATCTGCTGCTCTTCAGAATTTTGGGGATTTTTAGTTTGGAGAAAGCCTAGATTTATGGTGCTCAAAGTCATTTATGCAAAGTGGCCTTAGTTTACATAATTTGCACGATGCATTAATATTGCAAAAGCGTTGGGCTTCTGTGTTGATATGCCACAGCGTTTATTTAGAGCACGTTGGTGAGCGAAACCAGGACAGCCGAGGAAGGGAAAGAAACAGGCAGAAATGTCAAAGGGATCAGAAAAACCTCCACCGCCCTGAAGCTGTTCAGAAAAGCTCCATCCTTTTAACTATTGCAAGCTCCAATGCTCAGGCTGAGCCAAAATTGGAGGACATTTCAGCCCAAATCCACACTGTGCCAATCACAGGCAGAGTGCAAACAGATCTTAATCCTAATCAAATGACTACATTATTAGCCTGGAACTGAGCTTGGAAAAGGTCCTGGTTTTGAGACTACAGCTCCCAGCTTTCCTTGCTGGATGAGGGGATTCTGAGAGTTGTCATCCAAAATAGGAACTTTTGGCTTTGGATAATAGAAAGTGGTGCACCACTTCCCTCGGGTTCTAAGCCTTTTGGGACCAGGAAAGATGTCTGGTTTCCATCTCTGTCAAATATGTCTCTGCCTCTCTGAGGACTAGAAACTTGAGGAAGGTTTTCAAAAGAAAAGAGGCAAGGAATTAAGCCTGCCTTCTTCACCTGCCTAACACATAGTATGCTGCACAAAACAAAGAGGCCCAAAATCCAGGCAACTGTATTTGTTGGCAAACAACACTCATTCCTGGAGACAAGGGCTCACATCCCAGCTTGGCCATGTAAACCCACTGGGTGATCCTAGGCAAGTCACACTCTCTCAGCATCAGAGGATGGCAATGATAAACCCCCTCTGAAGAAATGTGCCAAGAAATCAGAATTGGGTTACCATAGGTTGGAAAGGACTTGAAGACACAAAACAACAACAACAAGCAATAAAATTAAAAACATACCAAAGTGGGTAAATTAAACTGGTATAGTATTAAAAGATATGTGAGCCCCTGCGGCGTAATGGTTTGAGCATTGGATTAGGACTCTGGAGACAAGGGTTCAAGTCCCGGCTCAGGCATGGAAATCCACTGGGTGACCTTAGGCAAGTCATACTCTCTCAGCCTCAGAAGATGGCAATGGCAAACCCCCTCTGAAGAAACGCACCAAGAAAACCTTACAGCATCACTATAAGTCGGAAACGACTTAAAGGCACACAACAACAACAACCATCACCAAAAGTAACTTTTCTGAGCTCCGAAGGAGCTGCGACTCACCAGTAAGGTCTCTACTGGTAGAAGGAATATGGCAAATGGAAAAGAATAGGACGAATCCCCTTACTGTGTGTTGGGTGAGGCAGGTGCGAGTTGTCATGAATTATTGTGCCATACAATCTCCTGGCCCTCGATTGGGGTTTGAAGAACAATCTCATGACAAACCCACAAGGCTCATCCTTCATAATAATCCTAGCACAAAGGGTGATTTTGGGAAGGGGACTCTCAAAACCATCTTAATCACTCCTTTTATTGTTATTATTTTTAACAAGACACTCCCTACAAAAGCACTCTGGTGCACCAAAAGACAACAAGATGGCAATCGATAGCGTCGAAAGGCCCCCAAAGAAGTGGCTTTGATCCAGGCCGATCGAAGGGCTCCTGGAAAACTCCTCTGGGGTCTTCTTCTATGCTTTATAAATACATTAAAATAAAATTAATCTCTGTCTTCTTGACATTGACACACATGCATGCAAGGAAGCAAGCCGGTTGCTCCACTTTCAAGATGGAACTGGAGCAAGCTGACAAATTTAAAGATTGATTTCCTTCCAAGATGGAAGTGGAATAAGCTGTTCACAGTAATTTATATTTAAAGATTCGTTTTAAAATACCAGGGAGATGCTTACCCAACCTAGGCAGGAGAAAGGGAAGGAAGGGAAACAAAGGAAAGGAGACAGGATGAGATACAAGAGGATTTCCCTATCATTTTGCCAGTCTTTGTTTCTCTATCATCTACTATTTCAGGCTCATGTCATTGAAATACACTGGAGAGATATGGAGAGACATGCCAGCAGCTTCAGCTCTGCCCGACTGGTCAGATCTTCTGACCTGAAAACTGTCCATGCCTTCTGGGAAGGACTTGGTCCTGAGAATACACTGGTGATTCAAGGGGGGGGGGGACTCTGCACATGCTCAGTGGCACTCTCCGAAACATATTCCAGAGCCAAGCCCTGGTGTGTGTGTTTGAAACTAGCTCTGATGGCTTAAAGCTCCCAAGCCCTGATCAGGTCTAGATAGTCCCTCCATAACAACAGAGACACACTTTGCACATTTGTTGTTGTTGGGTGCCTTCAGGTCATTTCCGATTTATGCCAGTCCTATCATGGGATTTTCTTGGCAAGATTCTTTAGAGAGGGTTTGCCATTCTGAGGCTGAGAGAGTGTGACTTGACCAAGGTCACCCAGTGGGTTTTTCAGCACTGAGCTGGGATTAAAACCCTGGTCTCCCAGAATCATCATCATCATCATCATCATTTATTTATTTATTAATATTCCACCCTTTTCCCAAAACAGACTCAAGCGTGGTTTACAATATTTTAAAAAAACAAACAGTACAATTAAAAACATGCAAAAGTGATACATTAAAATAGAATTAAATTATTATAATATTAAGATAGATTGTATTTTAACACTCAAACCACTAAACCACGTTGGCTGTATGCACATGCTCCTTATTATTCTCCTTTGCATTTTCTAGAGCCAAGCTTTTTGCATTTTCCAGAGCCAAGCTTTTGTTGTGTGTATTTTTCCTTTCTCAACTACCTCTGAGGGACAAGCTCTCCCAAGCCCTTATCATAGTAACAAAGGCATTTTGCACATGCTCAGTGGCACTCTCCTTCCCACGTTCCAAAGCCAACCCCGGCTTTGGGTGGGTTTTATTTTAACTCACCCTGAAAGACGTACACTGTAACAAACTAAAAGCACTCTGTACATGCTCAGACTCTTGAACATTTCTAATAAATGTTCCAGCCTTTCACACCTCCTTCCTTCCTTCCTTCCTTCCTTGCTTCCTTCCTTCCTTCCTCCTCTTCCCATCTTCTCCTTTCAGATCTCAGCATTTCCTTTTGGTTTTTAAATTACAATCCTCCCAAAGCTGGTCTCCCCCATGTTTTGTTTTTTTAAGCCAGGCACCATTTCTGCAAGATGGATGTCCATTAAATTCATTTATTATGGCCAATAACCGGCAAAAGATGGATTTCTCTTTTGTTGAGAAAAGATAGAGGGAAAACAGGGCATGTGCTTGAAGCACCAATTCCCATTTTTAAAAAGCCTGTCTCACCGATCCACAGCCCCACCCCAGATCCTCCACAAAGGGTCCGAAACCCCTCAAAAAAAGAAAATCCTAAGAAAATTGGGGGTTTCTGTGGCTCAGTCCATGCCCTACAAATATACCTATGTACTTATGAAGACCCTATTAATTTTGTAGGGTTTTCTTAGCCAAGGAATCCTCAGAGGCAATTTTGCC